ATATATATATATATATATATATATATATATATATAACCAACCAAATGTGCTGGAAAACTGGACAGCCTTGAACACATTTTTAATAACAAAGAATTCCAAAATCACTAGAATCACTGAACTTAATGAGCTTAAATTATCCATTAAAAAAGAAGGATTGGTTCGGCACAAAATGGATATGTAAAAAAAATACAACAGCATACTGATCACAACAATAGCAAAGAGAGAGGTTTTAAAAAATTCAATAACTCCATCTAACAAATGTTTTATCATTTACAATCTAGTATACTTGCTATCATAATGCTAACAAATCCATATATTGTTTTTTCACTGACATTTAATAGAGAAACACATTATTGCACTCACTTTTAATATTTATCTACTCTAATTCAGTCATCAAAAGATGAATCCATAATTTTTCAGAGACAATACTAATATGATGTTTTGTTCAAGTAAATGAGCCCACACATAAATAAGTCTTTTTTGCTATTTCTATGGGTTAGATCTTATTTTGTATAAATGCCTTAATTGGATATGAAAGTCCTTTTTCCCTCTTCACAGTGGATTTATTTAACAAAACTGCACAAAATTTAGTATACATATCTATTTATTTATACAACATCTAGTTTCTATTTAAAAAGATTCATATAATTAGATTTAGTATTTCTATCATTTTTTTCAGGCACTTGTTCTTGTGAGGCACTGTATTAATTGGAAAGTTATAAATCCAGTCAAAATCAACTTATTCGACATTCATTAATATATTTCATGACATACTGTATTTTGCCAACAGAAACAGTCATCACTTTCAGTTGTAAATTATACAAAACATGTCAAAACTGAAATTTACTGGTGACCAATGACCTCATCATTAGCTTTTTCAAGCATTATACTGTGATACCTGTCAACAATATAGTTGATAAAGATCAATTTAATTCTAATAAATACAGTTTGTTTATAACAAACAAGTTATTTTACTCAAATGTATTTTTTGAACATAAGTGTAACAACATATTCGTAAAAAAATAAAACAAAAACGAGATTTGTGTCATCCAATAGTTTCCTGTCACTCTCTAAACCCAATTTACCTGATGTTGTCACAGAATATTCCTGTAGCTTTCAAACATATCATTTTAAAATAAAAAATTTATCAGGAATGAAAAGAATGTCAAACAAAATTATAAAAAATTCTTAGATCTACTGTTTGTTCCTGAGCATTGTAAACTTCACATTAAGACCCAGTCCACTAATATGTTGAAAAACTAGAACTTACTGTTACAACAGCTTTATATACTCTATAACAAATAGATGAATTACAATTTCTTTTATTCAATCATTTTCAGCCTTAAAGCAAAGTTCCAATAATAATTGTTCAGACTATGTGCTGTGATATAATAGAGGTGGCAATAAATTGCTGTAGTAATATAGTTACTGACAAAGATGGAAAGCATCTTTAATAAAAAGATATAGCTTATATTTACAAAAACATAATATCTTAGCAAATATAAACCTATTCCTTTGTATAAACAGAAACATTTTAAAAAATCTTTTGAATCTAGTGAATTGCCTAAGAGCTACTCAGAAATGAAAGTTTGAACTATTTTTTTTATTTTTCTTTGTAAATACAATAAATAAGTGTTATTCAGTGCTCAAATATGTTCAGATAAAAAGTTTTGAAATGGAATTATAACTGTGTTAGAGGTAGACACATAAAATCTATTAAAATTAATTATTTTTGATATATAATCAATTTCTAGATACTGTTTGATGTCACAAAAATACAAAGTATGTACTCTGAAAATTAACTTAAACCAGCAACTTGAAGGTAACAGATGTATTTTTATAATATAAAAATTAAGATATTCTGAACAAATAAATGTAACAAGCCTACCTCAACCCCTGTAATACCAAGAGCACTTTCAATGTTTGGAGTCATTCTAAATGGTACTTTCTCTGGCACTCTTAGATTCTTGCCTTTCTCAAAACAAACATTGTAGTCAATATGTACAATCTATAGAAAAAGAAAAAGTGTTTTATAAACACACTGCACAATAACAAATTTTTGTCAAACCAAAGGTTGTAATTAGAAAAAAAAAAAAAATTTGCATCTGTATTGAATGTATTTTATTAAAATAACAATACACAAGATACGAAACAGAGTAACTAACACAGAAACAATAATAATATATTAAATACAAATTTAAGATATATATCTCTAAATTATTTTGAATCAAAACTGTACTTGCAAATAGCTAAAAATCTAAATTACATCTGTTGAAATAGAAAATAAAAAATTTCAGAAAAGTAAAATTTTAAGTTGTACAGAAAATAACTTAAGTATAAGCCTAAAGAAACAAGTATCTTTACTGACTGATCAGCCATTCAAAATGTTAATTCTCAATTGTAAAAGAATACTACTCTCCAAACAAGGTGAAACATGTTATTTCAATAACCTTCAGAAGAAAACAAATTATTTCTGTATGAGAGAAACAAAGCCTACCAACTAAAAAAAATTCACTATGACCATAACAGTAAAGGGAAACCACGTTCAAGAAACCAACATTCATAATATAACAAGCTGAAGAATACAGCTTCATGCAATAACCAATCTTTGAAAGAATATATATTCTCCTATTTTCAGATTAGATATACAAATCTCCACATTTAGAATTGCGTTGTAAATGCTTTAAGCTTTAAAAGCGAGAGATTTTTAATGTCTATAACTGGGCCAAAAAAATATATTACAATGTTATTAGTTTCAACACATCTAACATACAATACCTTTTGTATTGGGATCAAAAAAAAAACATTTTTCACATTTCATTTTGTTACTTAGGTTACTTTTGTTTATCACAGAACTAACAATAAGTGAAAATGTTGAATTTCATCTAAAGCGATGCCTGAAAATCAACTTCAAATCTTTATATAAAGCCTAAATTATGTGGAGTATATGAATGGTAATTTCCTATAAACCTTCAAATGTTCATAAATGTTTATATTTTTAGTGATATTACAATGCTGAATATCTACATTATTTTGTGTTTGCATGCATGTTTGACTATGTTGAAATTTGTCAACTTCCTGACTTCTTATCACTCTTGAAACCTTCAAGATTCTTTGGTATATTTCAGAAGTATTTTAAAACCTGTTACTTTTTGTTTTCTCATTCTTATGACTTAGAAAGCCATTTCAATTTTCCTTCTTGCTATCTGCCTCAATACCAATAAATAATGCACAGGTATGCTATCCCACCATCTTCATAAAGCTAAGGAGATAAATGTTGTACTTAGTGACTGTATGCTTGTTAGTATAAAAGGCAAATATATCATGCACGATGGAAAGCAATCTATTATTTAATAGAAATATTTGTTGTCTAATATTCTTCCTTTAATAAGGTTCAGTTATGTACTGAACCACAATGTGCCTAATATACTTCATTTATAACACTGCAATGGTGAAATCAGAAAATATATAAATTACCTCTCCTGTTGCTAGGTCCACCAAAACATTGTCAAGGTGACGATCTCCAAGTCCAATAATATAACCAATCATTGACATTACTGCTGTAGAATGGCTGTATGTTTGGGTGACTTCCCACCATTCTAATGCACTGCTACAAGAGCACCACAGTTCTCTGTAAATAGAAAGTACCCTTCTGCTACATGCATGATATTGTAAAAATTACCAAGATCAACACAGTTCTCTGTAATAGAAAGTACCCTTTTGATACACGTATGATATTGAAAAAATATACCAAGAGCAATGCAGTTTTCTGTAAATAGAGAGTACCCTTCTTCTACATGCATAATATTGTAAAAAATTACCAAGAGCAACGCAGTTCTCTGTAAATAGAGTACCCTTTTGATACATGTATGATATTGTAAACAATTACCAAGAGCAACACTGTTCTCTGTAAATAAAGAGTACCATTTTGTGTATCAATTCTAACTTTAACCATTTATATCATCGTATCTAACACATTATTCAGGACCCCCCCCAAAAAAAGTTTTTTTGATATTAAAATCAAAACAGAACACAGCAACTTAAGTTTATTTTATACTCTCAAGGAATTATCTTATAACACTTTCAATATCATTAAATACCTTCATATTCCAAGATCATATGTACAATCCATAAACATTTTTTAATGACTTACTTGGCCAACAGATCTTGTGGTGTTTCACTCATCAAATCTTTAAGGACATGAAGGAGTATGGACAACGGCCATTCTTTTCGGCTGTCCACACTGATTCCCTATAATAATAATAAAAAATATGTACAGAAATAGTTAAAACTTAAGTTATTTTTGCAATACAAAAACAAGTGACACACATAGTAAAAAAATTGAGAGAATGGCCTTGTTAGTCTAAAAAGGCAATGAATATCCCTTCTAAGGGTCAGGAAATCTCAGACAAATATTAAAAATAAAAGTTAATAAGAAAGAATATTTTTAATTTTGAAGAGTTGAATAAACACTAAACTTTATGTAAATGATTGCTTGTTTTTAAAACTTCAGTACATCCAGATTATCTAAGCATTATCTCTCAAGTAGAGAATGAAGTTTTACACTCAGTTGTCACTCCAAAATTTAAAATCTGAACAACTTAAAAAGTAATTATTGAGCTTTACTGTCTTTTACTTTCTCCATAGAAAGCAATATTTTGAAAGGACAAACATATACAATTCGTAGGACTCAAAAATGTTCAAAACAAAAGTATCTGAACAACTTTTGCATTTACAATGTACAAATCAACAAAGATATTTTTCCACCTATTGTAGGTTACTTTTATCACTAAATTTTAAAATCTAGGCTTAACTGATACAGGTAAGAACTAAAAGAATTATACTCAGACTGATAGTTAACAGATTTGTGGAAAATACATTTCAAATTATTAAAACTCTTGCTCTTTTTATTCACTCACAGAATTTAGAACATAAGTAAGTAATTTAAAAAATATCCCTTCTCTCACATTTCAAATACAGAGGGGAAAAAAATTAATACAGAACAAGAGAGAATCCTCAATAGCTGCAACACTTGAAATTCTTTTAGGCAGGATTAGAGGAAATTAATCTATGAAACCTTTTTTTTCTTCTTTTTTTTCCCTTTTTTATAAGCTATATTTTTTGTGCACCAGCAATATCAAGCATCAGGATCTCTACCAGCCTACCCTTAAACTGAAATTCTTTTAGGCAGGATTAGAATAAATTAATCTATAAAACCTTGAGCATAATCAAATACATCAATCGAAAGGTTTTGACCTCCTGAGTCCAACACCGTAATTTGATCTTAAATCAGTCAAGAGATGACAGAGCTACGAGCTAAAAGTTTGTACGTGTAAAACTCAAGAGCCATTCTATAATCTACTACATGCTACAGCTAAAAATTGTAAAACAAAGATAACAGAAACTACTTTACATATAGAGGAAAGGATCCCTTCAGGTATGGATTCTCTACTTACTGACATTTAGCTTTTCTTCCCAACCATACAGAAAAGCACAAATGCTCACAACAAAAAAAAGAAATACGAGGTTTCCTCCTGTATGAATGCTCTCCCGTTATGACCTTCTCATATTTTAAATATATAAATACACAAAAATACAGCAATTAGAAAGGATATACAACTTCTTCACTAAAACTACATTTGGATGTTTGCTAATGTAAACAAAGAATTATGTAACAATTCATATGCATGAATTTCATGACATACAAATCTATCCAATTTCTAAAAAATTCAACAAAAACATTATTAATTTACCTTTTCTTTCAAAATAGGATTCAGTTTATTATAGAACACCTCAGATGGTCGGAGAATGGTTGAAGGAATAATGGTGACTCCAGCAGCCTATTAAATATAGCAGGTAACAATATATTAATTATGAATTAAAAGTAACAAAGAAACATTAACCTTAGAAGTCTATTAGTTTAAACCATCAGATAGAAAAATTTGGATGTTTCATGGTTCGTGTGGTAGGTTTATCACCCAGCAGTAACTTCATACTGTTATGCTCATATACTTATAGATAGACTAGCAATTATACTTACACAACATAATATTTGGTAATTAATTACAAAAACATTAGTTTTCTAACAAAGAATGTTTTAAAGCATAGCAACATATTAACAGACAAAACACACTATTTAGTTCATTAAGTGTCAGAGAATACATTATCACCTGCTAACAGTAATTTAATAAACCACAACGTATAGTCATATACTGTTTAGTAGCTCAAGGTGCAATAGAGAATATATAAAATGCAAGTCAAGGGGCCACAGAATATTCATATATATATATATAGATATATGAAATAACATGGCTGCAGTAGCACAACACAATGCTTTACTATTTGGGATAAACTAGATCTCAAGATGTATAACCTGTTGCTGATAGTCTAAAAAAATTTAAAAACTCTGTTGCTAAGGTTCACAGAAAACTAATAAATCCATAAAAGTTCCTATTAACTTCTATGGAAAATCTTTATAGAATATACATGAATGCTTACAATTTATAGTACCAGCTACAACAAATACTATGAATTTATACTAAAATGGCATTTTGTTGGTTTTAACAATGTACAATTTTAAACAGTAGTACATCACATACATAAAATACTAAAATGCAATTTTTGTTTAACAAACTTCTGAATTAAAATAGTGTGTACTGGTAAAAATAAACAAATTCTATAAATTGATCACTGAAGAAAGGTTTTTCAAAGAATAAACTTTAGAAACATTTACATAAAAAAGTAAGATATAACAATTTGAATAATTCAACAGACAAGCACCTGGTTCTTTAAAACTTGAGCCACGGCTTCTCTTTGTTGCCAACGTTTGTACAGACCAAACAGAGCTGTAGCACCATCCACCCATTGTATTAGTCCAGATCGTGGTCCAAGAGGGGTAACAGAATAGTGTCGAGCTTTGTAGACAACATTACCATTTCTGAAAATTAACATAAACAATTGTTCAGTTTAGTCTTAGATTTTAGTTGATCTCAAATGCTCTTAACTGCTACAGCATCTTTACACACATCTAAATATTAACTAGTTGCAGAATGTTACAAGTTCCTTCCTTTTTAGATGTGTGGAAATGATGTTACAGCTGGCAAAACAGGAAGAATTAATTCTTACAACAGCAGTGTGTAGTAAAATGAGAGTTAACCTGATTGAGTGAAAAATTCCACTCGTGTACTGTTACATCTGTCAAAACAAAACGAATTAATTCTTACAACATAGCTTCATTTTACAGCAGTGTGTAGTAAAATGTGAGTTAACCTGACTGAGTGGAAAATTACACTTGTGATGGAAAAATTAGAACAGTTATAAAGAATATAATAGTTAAAAAAATAAGTTTAAAAATATGTAAACAACAACCAACAGAATACATAAATTTGAACAGAATACAGAATATATAAATATATATACATAAATATATAAATAAACTACAATATCTGAAACAGTTTCTTAGCTAACTATTAACCCAATCACCCTAGGTGCCCTATACTGTTCATGACACAAGATTTTAGTCTTTTACATTCAAAATTTTATTAAACTACTGTTTGTTTATGTTATACCAATTAGAATAGCGTAAAACCTTAGCTAATTATACATATTTTAATAGTATACAAGTTTTAAGTTCTTAATTCTACAAGGAAATATTTTAAAAGTCCTGAATTTCCACTAGCATGACCCACGCGACACATTTTGTCTCAGCATGTCATCACCCCTCAAAAATGTATGAAATTAAACGTAAAATACTCTCAATAAAATCGTTATTGCACAAAAACCATAATTTTTATAGCCTTCAATTCTGTTTGGTTACAGAGCTATCAAATAGAAAATCAGACCCCTCATGCCACATCCTCTCTTTCACAATTCGTTGATAGTTCTCTCATGTTTTATTATACATTACCTATAACCAGTAGAAAGTCAAGGTTTTCATCTATCAAATGACATTGTA